GTGTGATCAGACAACAACATCTGGGAATTGCCCCGCAGCCGTTGGCAACCCATCCTGCTCCGTGGCGGATTGCGACGTGCCATGGACGGACTTTCCCATGTCTGATTGCTCCAGCGCACTCTCATGGTGTCAGGATGGTCTGATCGGGCCATCCCAACTCCGTGCCATTGTCCCCCCACCACAGTATGCACATCATTGCAAACTCCATAGGGAGTCCTCGGTGCAGAGATGCGATTCATCAATTTAAGCACATGAGAAACAAATGGCACAAAAAGAGAGAGAGACTCACCCGCTGTTGCATCTGATCACACACTTGTGGGCTGCCCCTGCAGCATCAAAGGGAGGTGTGATCGTGCAACGGCGGGGCGGGTCAAATTCCTCCGGAGGAAATAGCCTTCCTTCCCTCCCCCCAATTTTTTTCTGGCGCGTGTGACCGCAACCAATGTAACCCAAATGTATTGGAACATTTAGTTGCCTAATGAATTGTGTAAGATTTTCTATATTTGTGAAAAGGTGTTGAGAAATATTAAGATGACAGATGGCTGAAGAGTCATATAAGGACAAGTGGTTTCATCATCAGGACAGGCTGCCTGAGGTTTTGCTCATTGTGAAAAGTTTTCATTATGCTTTTTTCCTCCTTGGGAGAACTGGGTTTCATACCTTGGAAAACTATCCATTTTGCTTGTATGGTGCTAAAAAAACACCAAAGCAGAACACTGTATCCATTGTGACAGCTTTGGGTAAGGACAGCAGCAACAAGACATTCAGGAAGAAATGTCAGAAGAACAGAATGGGTAGGATGGGAAGCCGTAAATACTTAGAATACAGATGGGGTAGATACATTTCCATTGAGATGTTCCAGAAACTGAAGTGAATAAGATGACCCAGCTGGAAGCTACACAAAGGAAGAGCCGCAGACAAAAAAAAAAAGGGTTCATTTACCCCTTGTGCCTTCCTCACCTTAGCATTATTTGTCAAATGTGAAATGTTTAGGAGACAATGTACTTCTACTTTCTCAAGTAGTATAAGTACTACTGTATTAGTGTGGAATCCATATTATTTGTACTATGGTTTGTGTTTTGTCTGAAAACATTCCTTCCTCAGCACTATTCTTCGTAAGCAAGGTTGGATAATCAAAGGGGAACATAAGTGAGTTGCTCTCCTCCCCTTGTTAGGAGTCTGTTCTCCCATTTGTCATCACTACCTGTGTGAGATGTAGACCCACTAACCGCACTTTCCTGGACTCAGACCAAGCAACATGTAAGCCATGAGTGTGGGTGCGTGCTCCCTTCAATAGAGAATGGGAGATTGCCCCGCAGCCACAGGTGGTCGTCATGGGCCACAAGAACAGTAACATGAGCCAGGAGCTGCCCTTGGCTGCTGGCAGTTTGCCAGGCTGCAGCCTTCATCAGCTAGAAGCCTTCAGGCACATCAACCAATCACATTCTGGAAAGCCAGAAGGTGACAAGAGAGGTCTTCTAAAGCAAAGCATGAAGGAGTACTAAAATGCTCTTGGGGCTTCAGAGTGCAGGTGAAGTATGTATGGGTGTCTTCCACACAGCTGTGCTGACAGAGACCTCTGAGCAAGGAAGCTTCAGCCTGAGCTGTGTTAGACCTCTCCCTGGCCAAGGCAGGGGGATGATCTCATTTATGGGTAATGAGAAGTAGGGATTGGCACAAACTGGGAAAATGTGGTTCGGTTCATGGTTCATGATGTGTCCCAGTTGCAAACCATGGAGAGTCACGCATTTTTAGCTGTCTTACTAATCGGTTCAGTTCATGAGGTTCATGGCCTGCTAGAACACCTCCCCTCCCCAGTTTGCTAAACACACCAAACTTGCAAGGGATCTCTGTCTGACTCTCCTCTATCTGCCCTCCAAGGTGATAGATAGATAGTTTATTACAGCATCCAGCCAGTAAATCAACAGAATCACACTGACGTTAAAAAACATACTGACTACAGCAATAAAATAGCTAAAATAAATACAAAAGATATATACAAATACATTAAAAGTAACAACAAATAAATATTACATAAAATATAAGTCAGCAGATCAGCTTAGAACTAAAATGTTATTTAGCGGGCTTTTTGAATACAGCAGCAGGCAGTACAGAATTTGGCAACAGCTTTAGAGGTAGACTGATTTTTATCTGACAGCAAATTGTTTATATAATCAGATTCTGTCAGGATTTAGTTTTACAATAGGCTCAAGATATTTGGAGCGGACCTCCTTGTACCAGGAACACCTGAGGAACATATGTGAGATAGCTGCAACTTCCCCTAAGCCACATCTGCAAAGCCTGCGTGCAAAGGGAATTCCCTTGTACCTGCCCTCAAGCACCGCTGAGGGGAGCACTGAACACCTGGCCAAAGTGAAGGCTTTTCTGTACTTATGTTCATCGAGATGGACAAGGTATGCAGAATAAGTGACACGGTATTTAGTTTGCACAGGCACTAGAAAAATTGGATATCTAGCCAGATCAGACTGCCTCTCAATGTCTGTTATTCTTTCTTTCATTATTTCACGATTTCCAAGGTGGTGAGGATTGGATTTATGAGGTCTGAGTTACAGCCCACCACGGAAGGTGCCACCAGGAGAGTGCAGTCTGGGAAATAACCACCTTCCATTTCCCCAGAAAGCACTTTCCTGGGGCACCTTCTTTGGGAGGCCGTAACTCTGACCCTGTAAATCCAATCTTCACCAAACATGGAAGGAAGGTAGAGGAGAGTCAGACAGAGTCCCCTTGTGAGTTTGGTGTCTCTTGTGTGTCTGGCTTGCATAGGATCAATTCTACACCCTCCTGGACCTGTCCCTGTCAAAATGACAGCTTACAGGTGGTCATTTTGGCAGGCTCAGGTCCAGGAGGTCCAGGCGTGTATAGAATGAATCTTGTGCAAACTAGAGACACTAAACTTGTGGGGGATCGCCATTTGACACTCCTCTACGTGCCGTCCAAGTTTGATGTCTCTAGCTTGCACAGGATCCATTCTGTATACTCATGAACCTGCGCCTGTCAAAATGACTGAGGTTCAGGTGTGTATAGAATGGAACCTGTGCAAGCTAGAGACATTGAAGTTGTAGGGGACCTCTTCTGGATGCTCCTCTACATGCCCTGCAGGTTGTTGCTTTGAAGGTTAGTAAGCATTTTGATTGAGTGGAGACAGTCTGTCTGGGAATGGATCTGCTCATGAACTGGTGCAAACCTCCATGAACAACGTCAAAGTTCGTGGAAAGGTCATGCTGGGTGCCCTTCAACAAACTTGACTTCGCAAACCACAAACAGGGCAAAATTTGTGACAAATTTTGCTTTGTGGTTCGATTTGTGCCCATCTGTAATGAGTACTCTGTGCTGGGAAAGAATCTAATCTCACAAACTGAAGAGGTTAGGTATCACTGGTCAAGACCTTACATGCCAGTCTCTTGGGAATACCTCGACAGGCATAAAGAATTCCTTCAACATACTTACATGTTTGCTGTCTGCCATTTTGTCGGAAAATATTATCATCTTCTACTTGCACTTCAAAGTGGTGTAGTCTGGCAAGATCTGAATTGTTTAGCTATGTTCTTTCTGCTGCTTAGCTCTAGGACTTGCTTCAACTACCACAGAACAAGCAGTGGCATTAGGTGTGAAAGCTGAAAATGCATCCTGTACTTGGCAAATGGGGCACAGGCATCCTGCCCTTTCCCACTAGTTGTAATAGTCCATTATCAGAGAGAAACAGCTGACCTGGTTTGTACTTTAGCGCTTTTGTTCCCAGCTTTTTGGCTGATAGAGACTCACAGCAGCTCCTGCTGAACCATTCTCTTCACTCCAGTTGCAAGAAGTCCCCTGTGTGCAACGTAGCACTTGGGAAGAGGATATAATGTTAGTGCAGCAGGGCCTCTCAGGCACCTGAATTTAGGTCAAAAAACAGCCCAGGCCTGAGGGAAGAAGCAGTGGCAAGGGTTGCCAGGCTGAGGTTTTTGATGACACACCATATTGATGGCACACCAAAGGTCTAAATCAGTATAAGGCAGCTTCATGTGTTCATTGATTATGGTATTATGAAGAGGTTTGTAAATGAGTGCTAGAAATTTCAAATCTGAAACAGTAGAAACACTGACATTCTCTATGGGGAGCATTTCTCTCCGCTGTGTAATTACCAGTCACATCTGTTATGAATTTGGGCTTATCTTGTGTATACAGAATGTTGTACAGAAGCACCTCTTGCAGTTCAAATACCCAAATTCCACTCTTCACTTTGCTGACTGAGAATTTAGTTTACACATCAAAGAAAATGGGCTACATCCCTATAATTACTCTGTTGTTCCCTAAACTACCAGCAAGACTATTTTTGTGTTTCCTCTATTGGAAGATTCCTGTGTTCAAACAGAGACTTATACATACACATGCATGATTATGTTCATTGTCTGCCTCCTAAAATGCTGGGATGATGCATATTTTTTAGAACCCCACATGCTATTTATTTATTTTCTTCATGACCCATCCTTTACCAAAAGAATGCTTCCATTGGTACCCATTGTTAAAAACTCAATCCATATTTAAAAAGTAAAAAAGAAGCCTAACACATGGGGCTCAACATTTAAAAAACCCTAAAGCTAAAATACCAGCAAACGCTAAAAACAGATAAAATAAGCCAGAACACAAGAATCAAATTAAGAGAGAAAATCCCATTAAAAACAAACAGTAAGGAGGATTTCACAAAATAGCCACAGTGATTCAGCTGACCTTTTCACATATAACGTTCTCTTGTTTTACTTTAGGGAAGTATTTAACACTTAATGCGGAAGCAACACTCTGAGTGACTGCCAGGGCTATTGTGAAGAGCTAGTTTGTCCTGAATGTCCAATCAGCTGTGGGAACCAAGGTTGCTTAGCACCCCATAGAATCAAGACCTCAAGACACAAAAGCAAACTGAGCTGTGGCTTTCTGGGATGCGGTGTGGAAATAAATAAGAAACATGAGACCAACACAGTTTTGTTCCACCTCAGTAATTGCTGTGGTTCTAGCTAGCAAGCAGCCCTGCGTTGTTGGTGCAGATGCCGTCTTGGCCAACAGACTGGTGAGTGCATTGGGGACCCCCAGAGCTAAGGACAGAAAAGCCTGGCGAGTGCATGGAAGACCCCCAGAACTAACAGCAGAAAAGCCTGCATTTAGAAAGGCTGAGAACGGGCAATCTGCCCTCTCTTCTCCCCTTGTAAAGTGCATTAAGTGGAGACCTATAAAAACAAAATTAAGTTTGCAATTTTAATTTTTAGGCTCATGGTGCTACAGCATCCTGGTTACATTTCCCAAGCTGATATACTGCAAAATAATGGGAGATTGTCGGGAGTGGGGGACACTCTTCTTGTGCTAAAAGATGTTTTAGCATGTTAACAATGCTGAGGTCTCTTACTGAAGAGCCAAATGTGGCTTGGGTTCAATGTGGCTGTCCTAAACAGCTCAAGGAATTGGAGATTTTGAGTTTGAGTTACACCTTTTCCCCCTTTCCCCCATCTTCCATCCACAAGTCCTACAGAGGAGAAAGTAGCATCGGGAAGAAAATGATATATAGAGCTACAGAGCATGGGATTCTTGAGGCTCATGGTGCAAAAGGAAGAGAGAACCTGGACACATGAGAAGGGCATTAAAGGTGTGGCATAAGAAGAAGAGCTCAAAAGGAGCGGAAAGGGTGTGGGAGAAATAGTTGTCTTAGAGCTCATGTGATAGGATTGATTCTTCCTTGGGCGCCATGATGAAAGAAAGGTCAGAATAAATGTAATACATCAGTAATGGGCACCTGCTGAAACTAAAGACACTGGAAACTGCCTGGGAATGTTAAGTACCTTGCTTTAATTTCCATTATGGAAAAAAGATGGGTGATTTTGAGTCAGTCAGTTATATCAGCAAAACATACCTCCCAGGGTCGTTACGAGGATAAACTGAAGAAGGGAGAAATATGTGTGCTGCCCTGTGCCCTTTCAAATGCAATAGACAGACAGACAGAAAGACAGATAGATAGATGATCGGTACTTTCTGTGCAGATGGCCTATGTCATATGGGTTGCCAACTCCAGCTTGGGGAATTATTGTAGATTTGGGGGTGGTGCCTGGGGAGGATAGAGTTTAGGGAGAAGAGAGAGCTCAGCAGGGATGAATTTGGGGAGAAGAGGGAGCTCAGTCCACCTTCTGGAGCTGCCATATTCTCCAGAGGAGCTGATCTAGGTAGTCTGGAATTCAGTTGTAATTCTGGGAGAAGTCTAAGCCCCACCTGAAGGCTGGAAACCCTATATGGAACCAGGAGACATGTGGAAACTCTCCACATGGTGAGCCATTCTAAATGTTATGGAGTGTATGTGTAGCATGACATTCTTTCCGCATCCCCCCATAAGAAATATATCATTTATAAGCTCTCAGTGCTTAAGTAGCAATAATTTTATTGGCACTGGACCAACAATGTATATTTTCCATTCCAAGCAACTATGCGTGCGTACATACACATTTTCTAATGTGTTGCAAATCAAACTGTGATATAACCAATCAGGGTTTTAAATGATGTGATCATGTTTCGAAACAATTGCCTCTCAGCCTCTATAAACACACTGTTGATAATTAAATATTGCCAGTTGAAGTGGCAGTAAAAACATCCCACTCATTTAGAAACAAGCAAACAATCAAAACAAAAAACCTCGGAGTGTGTTGATAGAGAGTGGCTTGATCTGATTCTATCATTGCTGGTGAGCTGCTCTTACCTATTGTTGAATGTATGACATCATGTATTATTTAGAGCTGCAACAAACCCATATTCTCTGTCAGCAAGAGTTGGTGGTGAGGACTGGAGTTTTCTGTGTTCCCAAAGTCGAATGTACACTTGGAAGAAGAAATCTGGAAAGATATGAACTCCTTAAATAAGCATATGTATTATATTCTAATAAAGTTTTGATTCATCAGTAAAGACTTCTCTGAAAGGGTTTTGTGGGGGAAACACCCCAGATCCATTGTTAT